TAATTTACTATGATATTAAATATCATTGGCTGAATTTCAGGAAACCAATGTAAGAGTACACTTAGGATATTCATACCTCTTGCTCAGATCATTATTATGTTATTATCTCCAGTTAGTGAGACTTGAAACTCAAAATTATAAAAGGAAAAAATCTTACAAATTTTAGTTTCATCATTTTATATGTACATACAAATTTATTAATTTCATAAGTATTTTAGCAGCTAGAGTGAACACAGTAAATATTAAAAAGAGAAGTAAAACACTTTGTGTTATGAATTACATATTATGTAAGTGTCATTAAGTAACAAGAATAGGTTTTGTAAAAAAAGTGAAGTAATATACATTAATAGGTTCTTTTTAAAACTAACAAACTTCATATTTGACTTGAAAAGATAGAATGAATCATGCAAGAAGAGTGTAGAAGAAAAAATTTCTAGAAGAAAGGAATAGCCTTGGGTAGAAATGGATTTGGGAGTCTCAGGGAAAGCAAAAAGACAGAATATCTAGAGAAATATGTAAGAGAAGGGGTGATAAATGTTAATGTCCCCCATAACCTTGTTGAATTTATTTTATTCTGCATACGAAAGAACTTTACAATGATAGCTTAGAATAAGAGGATCTCACAACCTGACAATGGTTTTATCTAAGATCACCCTAGGTACTTTTGAAAAACTGAAAGCAATGCCTCCTGAGTGAAAATACCAGGATAAGTTAACAGAATACTTTCACAGTCAAGATGTGCAATAGTGGTGACCATCTTTAGGGAGAAATTTGATTGAAATGTACCTGTCAAAGGGAAATGGTGAGAATGGTGTAACTTAACCTTAATCTTGCTTAAGAAGCCTCTCACACACACACTCATACTCTCTCTCTCTCTCTCTCTCTCTCTCTCTCTCTCTCTCTCTCTCACACACACACACACACACACACACACACACACACACACACACACACACACACACATGGCCAGCCTCACATGAATTAGGAGCAGAAATTAAAATTATCTCTGATAAAACATTTTCTAAAAACGACTGAGACTGTATTTCCCACCTGAGAAGTGCTTCAGCAATAGACATTGCCATTTTCCAAATGAGAGCTCCAGCTTAGTTCTCTGAGCCCTTGAGGCTGAGCTGGCTCTGTGCCCGCCCCCTTATCCCATAAAAGATAGCAGCAGAAAAGTGCTCCTGCCCTGGATGTCACACTGGTTGTCCTGAAAGATTTTGCTCACTGTCTTTTAGAAGCTAACTGTCCTTAGACGTGAAGTCCCCCTGAAAACATCATAGGAAGCAAAAAGTGCAGAGAGATGATAGATGCATAGATACATACATGATAGATAGATAGATAGATAGATAGATAGATAGATAGATAGATGATAGATAGATAGATAGATAGATAGACAGACACATGGATAGATAGATAGACAGACATATACATACATATGGAAACAAGTACATACATTCACACATATGTAGACAGAGAGGCAGAAGGTCCCAAAGTCTCACAATTTTAAAACAAAATCCAAGCAGTACAAAAACGCCAGACATGTAAGGAAAAACGCATCATACACCTTGATTCTCCAGCCCTGGCTGCCCCTAGCATACAATATAAATGAGAAGCCAGCAAACCATTTAAAGTTGTCCTGAAACAAAATTCTGAGCAAAATAAAAATGTGTTGTGTATTCTTGTAGGTTTTGGAAGAATTTTTCATTATTGATAGATGACTATGGCATGGTGCAGTATGCTGGTCCTCACCTCCAAAAAACAGAAAGTTAAAATTAAATAAATTGCAAACTGATAGCACCAGACAGCTACCAGTATTGAAAGCAGGAGCAAACGGTGCTCCACAGAAACAGCAAAACCCCGCAGCATCTCAAGCTATTGGAGATTCTCCACCCAGAACCTAGCTATTCTTTCACAGAAGTCCCATGGCCAGCATCATTTTCTGAGTCCTTTAAACTTTGAAAAAGAGGTCATTCTTATATTAGCAAAATTGCTTAAAAGTCTATTTTAATGCTAATTAGTTACACATCTAATAAAAATAGCATAAAAATAAAACTGTGGACCAGAAGAATTAAATATACAATGCCAGTTCAATTCCTGGTACACATATCTAGCCAATTTGTATAAAGACATAACCCAATAACCCCTGATAGCTGCTGCCTGATGTGTTGAACAAGACTCTAAAAGTAATAACGTTTCCAGTAAGTACAACAAAGGGTAATATCCTCAATGGGTACACAACGACCTCCTTCAAAACAATAACTGAAATTCTACATTTCTGTGGAAAAGAAGAAAAAATGGATGAATGATATGCAACAAAATCTGAATAAAGTGGAAATACAAGAGATTGACTCTCAAAAGTATATTTAATTTATCTAGTGATAAATATTATATCAGCCAGGGGCTGGGGATTTAGCTCAGTGGCATAAGTGCCTGCCTTGCAAGCAGGCAGTCTTGAGTTCGATCCCTGGTACTGGTAAAAAGGAAAAACACACAGACACACACACACACACACAAAAAAAAGTTATATCAGCCATGAAGTTCTATATTCAGTATAGTGGATAAACAAATTAATAAGCAAAAAATCAATTATTTTTAATACTTTTAATATTGATGAGTGATTAACAAGACAGTCATAGCTTACTGATACATAAATGGTATTCTTAGAAAACTTTTCTCATAAATGGAGAAACTTTTGCTGAATTACAAATCCCTTCATCATAAAGAGGAATCTTCCCCAATCTTATCTTATAAACAAAATCCATTTGGTGTGAATTCTTTCAATGTTTTAAATATCACCTTTTCCCACTACTTCAAATAATAGATACTACTTCTTACAATCACTGAAAAATACAAGTTGATTCTGTATTTCTATATACAACTGGTACAGATCGTAGAATCAGTATTGTGATTTCATAAAATGAGGCCTATTGATGATGGGGTCTTACTCAGACCTATTCCTTAGTTACCTTTATCCTCTCAAGACTGACACATAGCAGGGGTCCTGTACATACTCAAGGAATGTCCACTGCAAAGCAGCAAACACATGAAATGAAGTGCTACCACTTCCAAAGCCTCTGGAAATCCAGTCTTCGAATCCAGAGAATGGCCCCTCAACCTGGATGTTACATTTATCCTTGGCAGCTATGGCTTCCAGGCAGCTCTGTGCATTAAGGTCGAAGTTGACGGGGACAGATGAATCCAGGGATAGAAGTGGTAAGGACAGCAGGAGATCAGGGGAGCCTTTCCCTAGAGGAAATCAGTCCTGCCTCTTTAGCTGGCACACAGATCCTTTGGCTTCAGTCTTTGGTCTTATTCTCTTAAGTTCACAGGCACCCAATTTTCTGAAGCTCTGATACTTGCCACATCTTCCTGCCATCTTCTGAGACCTTGAATTTCATGCCAATAAAAGATGGCAACATATGTAGTCTCTGTGGTACAGGGAAGAGAATGATTTCAGGATTGATATTTTTAAAAATTACATGTAAGCATCCTTTTCTTGCAGACAAAGACAGGTAAAGGAGAAATAGAACATCTGCCAGGATGATGGGGTGTGATAGTAATAAAGTGTGGACTTGAGTGTGGTTTGTTTGTTCACACTTTGGGCCAGTTTCATGAAAGGAAGCAATAGAACTGAATTTTTCCATTCGTAGAGCTGTAAAAAGGAAATGACATTTTCATTTGTTATATGAATAGTTTCCAATTGTTTCTTGGTTTCTTCTGAAGCCAATTTCTTGAAAGTATTTTGGAGAACTTTTAATAAATTTTCTTAAGTAACACACTGCACTTTCACCTATAATTGTAATTTCTCAATATACAAAGAGGGTTTGCAATATCACTTCAATATTTCTGTCAAAGCCCAAATGTAAACAAAGAATAAACACAAATTCTAGGAGCCTGTTAATATTCTACAAATGTGTCCACTGCCCACTTGCTTTGCTTGAATTGGGTTCTTTGTGGCTCATTTTCCTCCAGGGTTGGCCAAGTCTATTTTGTCTCTCCCCAATGCCCTGGCAGGTGATACAATGGTGTGCATTCACAGAGAAAGCGTGTACAGAGCTAGGGTTCCACATCTCTTCATGGTTTCCTTGGGGTAACCATTCCTGGGAGTGAGATGATCTTGCCTTAAGGATGGGTGTCACGAGATTTTTCACTCTCTCAATGGCAAACATTCCCTTGCATCAGAAAGAAATTTTAATGTAACCATTTTTCTTCCTTCTAGCAGAGAAATCCTGGATTTAATCATGCAACATCATAAATAGTACACTTTAAAAAAAGATAATATTATCTTTGCTTTTCTTAATGTGTTCATAGCTTTTGAAAGTTTGGCTGGTATTTACTTTTATGATAATTGTTGTGAAAAGGAAATTGAATTCAGAATCTATATGGAATGATAAACTAATTCCAAATAGCAGTTGTATCCATATTCATCACTGATCACCAAATGGGACTGATTATAGATGTACTTGGAGACTATCAGAAAGGCATTGTTGATTTACTTTACATAGATCAACAAGCCACATAAAAAATTAAGCACAGTGCTTTCAGAATTGCAAGTGATTAAACATTAATGACTGTAAAGCTTAGTCAAACACTGAAAGTCTTAAAGTCTTCCACAGTACATCATGTTGAGTGTCAACGGATAAAACAGAATGCCAATAATAGTTGGAATGTTCCTGAGAAGAGTTAAGCTTTGTCAATAGCTATATGTACATGTGCCAATATCTGAAAATCTATCAATCTCTCCATACTGTAAAAACGCAAATAGGCTGACCACATCTAAACTATTGTGCTACTAGATACCATGGAAAATAAATCTGAAAATTGTTTCATATTCAGTTGCTTCTTTTGTGCCATGTGTATGTATTTGAATACTGACATAGTCAAATTTCTATTATTTACACTAGAAGAGTTAGAAGGAAAATGGTTAAATTAAATCTTTGTCCTCAATTACTGTAGTCATATTTTTGTAGATGAATTTTGGTTGATTTATATTTAAGTTTTTGTCCAGATAAAAATGTTTGGATTGATGCAAGAAAATACATGTGAAAAGCAAAACCTAGATTTTAGTATGTGTTATGCTATTGACTTAGGGCTCTGGTGTGAAAGTTAGCAAAGAAAAAGGATAAAGTAGAAGCTATTCTGTTCAGCAGATAAGAAGTTCCACAACCACGGGTGGAAGAAATCAATGAGGAAGGAAAAGAGGAATGAAATTCACAGAAAAAGTAGGACAAAGGGGTTACCAGATGACAGGAGGTACCGTTTAATAACATTTGACTTGCCAGTGAAATCTTTTCTACCCACTGAAGGTTAAATGCGAGTGGATTTTTGTGAAAACCAGTGAAAGGATGAAATTTCAAGCCAATTTTGGCTCATAGAGATATCAAAGTAGGCTGCAGTAGAGTGAGAAGCTTTTTAATTAGAATGCCTAAGAGTTGAGGTGATTTGACCAATTGTAGGCTCGGGCCTTGGGGTTCAACCAAATGTATCCGGGAGACCAGAGAACAGGACCCTTCCACAGTCCCAGGTGCACACAGAATTCAACGTGGTAGCCAAGTCTCAAAAAAAGGAGAAGAGAACTCAATATAATACATGGTAAGTTTGAAAGATGCAATGAAAAAGATTAATATTAAAAGAGAAATTATCACTTTCAGTCTCAGCTTGCTGAAAAAAATATTTTTAAAAGAAATGAATTTGAAATTTTCTGTTTTCAGTTTATTTCTTTTTGCTTATTTCATCTTAATGTATGAGTAGAATTTTAAAAGATACAACTCCAGAAAATGTATTCTCCTTCAAATGAAAATCCAAATTTCACTCTAGGGACTTAAAATTCAACCACGAACTCCATCCAACTTTTTTTTTTTTTTTCTTTAGTCAGAACATCTTCCCGTGAATACAGTGCTAGATATTTAATTTACAGAAATAACCGGAAAATTTCCCCTTCCTTCACAGAGCTTACACTCCAGTAATAACAACTGTCTCTCTCTAATTTATATTTGGCTCATAGGCATCATTTCCAAAACCACTAATGGCTGAACATATTCTATTCTATTAAGAGTTTACAGCGGATAATGAAGATTTGTATTTAATGCCTCTTTCTTCATTACTAACAAATTCTTTTTGGTCATTCAAAAAGAATTACCTTTCAGGTAATATGAATTTTATATTACTGTCTCACTTCTGTTAGTAAAATAACAATTTGAGACAACCTACAAAATATTAGAGATCATGTCTAAGTCGGTAAAAAAACACTTCGGAATGAGATTCCTGGGACATAAAAGTTTTCAGAGAAAATGATTATAAGTTGAATCTCTTGTCTGATAGGCCTACAGCACAAGGAGAATATGGTCACCTATAAACTAAAAAATTTGATCTTTTTCACATTGCTCATGGTAATTATATGAATGGTCATTCTAATTATGTAAAGTGTAGTCCTTACCTTTAAGGAGTAATTTACCTTAGCACCATAAATAAATGACAGAATAAGAAAACAAATGTGTTTTTAAATATCTTTTTGATCATGAAATTCTGAGCCAGAAAAGAAACTACATGTCCCCTCTATACAGTGAGGCTGTACGAACTTCTGTGTTTCTTTTGTTAAGCTGATTTTTCCAGCTCTGATTCTAGTTAGAAGAGACGTCAAGTTCACTAATGACTGCAGATACAGACCATAAATTCTGATATTGCAAAACTATGATATTTAGGAGACTTAATGTATGTTACACACACAAGTACAATTTGAACCCCTTCATAACTTTAGGGATATGATTTGAACAGTGGTTTTTAAAACAGTCAATAAAAGAAGATTCTGAGATAATTTGAAGTCATCAACCATCTTTTTCATCTTAGTATCTCTGGGGCCAAAAATCACTCCTATATATATCATATAGTAGGCGCAAAATAAACTTTGTTTAAAAAAGCAAACGTCCTGGATAGGCCACCAACTTAATATTCATCCTTATGATTCTTTGCCTGCTGCTAAGTGGATCTTACAATATTTCTAAGGTAAAGCCTCCCCTTTAGATTCACCCCCTTGCACTCTCCGCTCCCTCTGGCAGGCTCTGAGTACCTTTCCAGTTGCCAGTTGCTGCAGTTGTTGGGTTCAACCCCGTGGCCATCCAACAGCGATCTCTTTCATTTTAAAGTAAAATGTTCGAGTTTTGATATTGCTGTAAAATGAAATAATATCTTTGACAATGCATTTAAAATAACAATCTGCCTAAAGGTGAATTTCTCTCACCCTCGTCACACGGTGCGCTTTTATTTCACATTCAGACTGGCTCTGTAAGCGGCCCAGCCCCGCAAGGAGAGAGAAGGTGAGGACAGAATGAACCACGAGCCTCAGACAGTGCAGGAGAGAGCTGAACGCTGCCTGTTTCAAGGCAACTCAGCCTGAAAGTCATGAAACGTGTGCTGTGCTGACAATAATGGCAGAGAAGGTGAGCTAAAAGATATATTTTGACATTTTGAAAATAAACATCACCTCATCAGAAACTTTTTTATTTAAAGAAAGCCATTCTTATAGACAGTGGATTTGACTTTTTGAGCCTGCTGCTTTGGATAAGCCAGGGATAATCCATATCATATCAGTCTGAAGATTAAAAACAATATTTTACAGATAATGTTAAGGGAAATAAATCATACATACAAGTTTAAATGTCACATGATTTCCCTTGTATGAGAAACTCACATAATCAGAAATAAAGAGCAAAATGAAAGAGAGACAGTAGGAAATAGAAAGATACATCTTTTTCAGATGGGAAGGAGATCAACAGATGGAGAAAAAGGAAGACCAGGAAAGGTGACTGAAGAGGAAGAAAGATGCGTTATGTACACATACCAACTCCACACGAGGAATATAAACATTATGTACTTCAAGCATGGGCTATAAAGTTATTTAAAATACCCTATATTCGTTAAAGTCTTGTGTGTTTAGAAATCAAGTCTTTAGCCTTCAATGCATGCTAAGAACAATGCTATATATGCAGTACATACACGTGGCATTTTATGAATCAGCAAAACAAATTTCTCAAGTGGTCTGCATAGGACCTTTTCACTGTGTAATACCTTGGGAAATCTAAGGTCTTATGGAAAATTTACCCATATCTCTGCTTCTCCCCACAACAAATTCATTTTTCAATAAATGATCATGTAAAGTGCGATATATATTAGCAACTTAAGAATTGTACCTAAGTGCTGAAAGGTGTATATTTAAATCCACCAATTCGAATACCTACATCAAGTCTTACAGATCAAATACTCTTGCATAAATCACACACAGTACAAAAGAGACCAACAAAGAAGCATTGAATCTAAAACAGGTTTCTGTATAGTGATATGGGATTCTAGGAAGATGTTTTGCCTCTTTACTCAAAGTCTTAAAAAATAGACTAGTTGTTGATAAACTAGTAAATCAATAACCTAAGTTCACCGGCTGGACTGCTCTTATATGACTCCCGAGCTAGTACATCTACCCACGGGTTTGAAAAATTTAAAAGGTTATAAAATAAATCAAATAAAAATATGTAATAGAGACCATACGTGGTCCACAAAGTCTAAAATTTTGATTTGCCCAGATCTGCTCCACCAACCCCAGGCTTAGACTCTTAATGGACTGATGGTTAGCTTTCATTTGCAATCCTGGTTTAAATTGGAAATGCTACATTATTACAGTAAACACTGCTTTCTTTTGGTACAGGGAATTTGTATGCTTAAATTTCTACTTAATCAGATTACTTATATTTTTCTCCATTAACAAAGGTAATGCCTAAAGAATGAGGCTATCTCATTCTAGGACTGAACAACTTATTTGACATATTTTTTAAAAATAAAAGAAATATGAATCTGAAATGTAAAGTTGAGCATTACTAAAAATATTTAAAAAGTATTTTTTCAATTAATTTTATTGGTACATTTTAGATATACATCATGATCACATTTATCATAGGAAATTTGCATATAATATATCTCGATTCTTCTCTTTTTCCTAGAGAATAGAAGGGAAAAAATTGAAAACAAAGCTCTTGTAAATAAAGAGGTGGAGAGGGATTGAAGGCAGGCAAGGAGATTGGAAAAAAAAAAAGAATAAAAAATTCTTATACCCAACTGTAATATTCTGTCTCAACAGTGCTTCAGTAAAAAAAACAAATCTCTCCATCTTTTGTAATATGTAGCTTTATATAATGATACTTAAATGCTTTGGATCTAATAAAATATATTTATCCAATAAAAATGTATCTTGTGGAGTTACTCCATATAATTCAGAATTTAAGCTCAATTAATACAACTTTATCATTAATATTATTACAAATCATAATCATACTAATTTAGATGCACAGCAATCCGATATTATAATAAGGAACCAAAATGTAAGATTCATCTAGTCATGAGCAAAGAACTCCTCGTGATAAGCTAACAATTAATTCAAAATGACCTTTTACATTGAGAAATAATAAAATGACTTTTCATAAAATTATTTTTCATTTTAAAACAACAATTTGTTCCTACCATGCAATAGCAAGAAAGAATGTCTTATTTCTTTTGAGGAATTATTAATTACAATTACAAAATCATAGAGATAGATGTACCACAAAATATAATTAGAATGTTTACTCACAAACATAAAAACAGCAAAATTTTTTCTTAAAGTATACTAAAAACTATTAACATAATTATAGACAAAACTATTTTGATAAGGCTATTTTGGGTGAATGAGGAATTTTTTTCTCTTTAAGCTATTAATGATAAGTAGACTGCTTTGTAACTGGCTGTAATTTTGATTTGAGGTTTTCTGTGATATCTGGTCTAATTTCAGACATGGCAGCAGTACTTCTGCATGTATCAAAGATCTACATATTTTTAATATTTCCAATTAGATATTACTGCTATTTTACTTAGGAAAAGATGTTTGCTTGTTGTTTGGCTTAAATCTTTGACACATCTTAACATTAAATAAAGTCAAGCCACAAATAATGTCCAAGAGTAGCTACAAATAAAGCTCAGTGATTTGTACTATGGATTTGAAAGGATGTAGGTTAATGTAAAAGCTGCGTGATTTTTTCTTCATTATTTTAAAACAAAAGCACATCTTCTGGGGGTAAAGCAGCCCAAAGCAGTCTCTGTTAAACCATCTATTCTCAGAAACAACAAGCCTTTGACATCTGTGACCCAGGAGACATGCAGAAGTCATTAAGGGTATCCCGAGGGGGTTCCAACAGTTGCTTCACTTCAGGGTGGGTGTGAGAAGGCTTAAAATTAAATTACTCTAAAATAAAGTTAGAGCACTAAGCAATTTCCTGCTTTCGACGCAGTAGGGTTTCCCGTGAGAAAAGAAAGTGGGCAAAAAGCTCAGACAGACAGACAAACATATTTACCCCTAGGTGGAAGGTACAAATTAAATTAGCCTGTTACAAAAGGGAGATGTTTTCTCCTTCTGTTCTGATGTCATGGTAGTGAGGAAACATAGTGTGGGCCAAGAAAAATGGCACAAATGCATTCATCTGAGCTACCATTCACCCTGATCCAAGGTCTAAACAGAACACATAAAAGAACAGCACTGTGGAAGAACTTCCTTTCCCTAGTTACCAAGTTGAGATTTGCAAGGGAACATGGGAGCAGGGGGTGGGGATCTTTCCAGAACGTTTCGGTGTTGATGGAAGTGTCAGAGGATGCTATGGAGTTAATGACTGAATCTGAAATCACATCAGTATAATTTGATTCCATATTTCATAGAAAGAGCTGTATTTTATGGTGCACAGTATGGTGTACTTAAAGGTACATTGTGAACTTTCTTTCCCTCTGTAGCTGGAAACCAATATAGGCACTTCCAAAGAGTCAAGTATCTATTATAGTGCCTCATTAATATGCATGTTTTTGGCACTCAGTTTGGTTCAGCTGGTATGCTTTCCAGTATCTCATTCTTTATTTATATGAGACTGGGAGGTGTGACCTATGAAGCCAGTTGGCTGTCATGAATTGGAATATTCATTAAGCCTCATGAATTATGCATTAGCCTGCTTATAATACTGAGATCCACATTTGATCTAGCCAGAACTCTCAACTGCTTCCCATTTGATGGAATGATCCACATTTTGGTCAAAGTATACATGTGTTCCATACACTGCAGGAGAACTGCACATATATTTGCTACCCAGAAAGGCTGGAGATTTTGCAACTCACATCTGACTAAGTGGGTTTCATATTTTCTTCATGTCTGAAGGGCATGGCAGACATGGCTCTCCTTTAGCAAACTAAGTTAAAGGATCATTCTTCTCCACCCTGATTACTATTTCCATCCATTACTGCCCTTGTCTATAAAAGTCACCATTGACTGGGCAGTGGTCTGGATTACAAAAGATATGTAGCTATCTCCCGGTGATCCACACATAAAAGCAAAGCCAAATATAAACGACATGGAAAATGCTCTTAAGAATTTAGTTCCTCTTATCTAAACCAAGGAAAGCTTTTTAAAAGATAGCCTTATCATTTTGGTTGCCTTTCATGGATAAGTATATCCAGGCTATATAAAATCCAATTTGGAGATTTGCTAAGGTTTTAAGATACTATCAAAATTCTAAAATAATATTTATTAGTTAGCAATTAAATGTTTTAGAGTTTAAATTATGTGCATCAGTGTTAAATCCATGCCTTGTTTAGGTCTATACCTTTTGAAATAAAAAGGGGGAAAAAAGCAGAACAGACCGATTGCCAACGATTAATATAATCTCTAATATACATCTGCTAAAAGTGTTTCACTTTTTTATTCTTAGCACAAGCCAATCAAGTTAAAATTGTCCCCCCAAAATATCTATTCTCAAATAAAAATATAGCTTTTTATAGTATCGATCTAAAGCTTTGCTTACCATCCATTTTTAAAACTTTCTACTTATTCTCCGTCAAGACCTGACTTAGAAAGGCTCTTTCTCAGAGATGTAATTATTATCACTGAGCCTAAAATATAATTTGAATTTAGTTCATTCTGGTTGCTCTATTTTGGAAGATCGGACTAAAGAATCTATAGCCAGCTCTACCAAAGGTCACGGGTGAGTCCCGGGTAAAATGGCATTGTTTACAGATTTTTTTAGTGAAGAGATTAGCTGTCATTTATTTTCACATACCTAACTGAGGAGCTTTAGTGGTTCCCAGCAAGAGTGTGTTCTCTTCTCTTTCTTAGCCTGTCACATCCTTGTCAGTCTCAATAAAATTACTTACCTGCATTATGTAAATGAGGCTTTGTTATGTCCGGCTCCAGTCATTGTTCATCTCCACTACAGCTGAAAATTCTAGCAGACCCCTTGCTTACTCTGTCTGATTTCAGGACTCCTTGGGTCAAGACCTTTCAACCTCAGAGCTTGACTTATGCCACAAGCATTTGACAAATCGCCCACACCCTCACAAAGGCTGGTTGAGCTCCAGAGTGGCTGCGCTCTCTATGCACCACTGTTTCTCTGTTTTGACATTTCCTTCTCACTTTTCCTCTCAGTAATTAGACAAAGGGAGAAAAAGACATTTGTGTCTAAAGAATGCTTTCATTTAGGACTGTGATAAATGGCTCCCCTTTCCAAGAAGCTGCAACCCCTCCACAGGACAGAAGGTTCCTTCACAAGCACAGGCCGCCCACCAAAGCCTTCCCGGACTTCGGCTTTGCCTCTGAAGAGCACGCAGAGCGTCCGCTGATCCCTTCTGTGTCTGCAGCTGAACTGAGAAGTGGGAACATGCAGCGCGAACTTCCGTGTTAAACACATCATGGTTGTAAACACAAATGTAAAGGAGTTACACTTTGAGTCACTGATTCTTTTATTTTCTTAGTCTCAATTCCATTAATTCCTGCTCTGATCTTTCTAATTTCCTCCACTGTATGAGTCTTGGGCTTGCCATGTCCCTCTTTTTCCAGAGGTCCAAGGTTCAGCAT